ACCACAGATCCAGACTCCACAGCTCTAGGAACACCTGCAGGAAGTGATAGGAGGAGACTCCCAACCACAGATCCAGACCCCACAGCTCCAGAGCCAGGAATATCTGCAGAAAGTGTTAGGAAGAGAGAGAAGAGAGAGGGGGGACGAGAAAGCACACGACTACGGGGAAGGGAGAGAGTCCAGTTAGTAACATTGTTAATGGAATGAGGTTGCACCGGGAGGGAGAGAGAGAAAGGAGAGGGGAGCTCGGTGCATCATGATGCCTCCCCCGGCAGTCTAGGCCTATAGCAGCACAACCAGGGGTGGACTTACTCTAACTATAAGCTCTATCATAAAGGAAAGTCTTAAGCCTACTCTTAAATATAGAGACGGTGTCTGCTTCCCGGACCCAAACTGGAACCTGGTTCCACAAAAGAGGACTCTGATAGCCGAACGCTCTAGCGCCCATTCTAGTTTTCAAGACTCTAGGAACTGCCAGTAACCCTTCATTCTGGGAGCGCAGTTCTCTGGTAGGGCAGTAAGGTACTAAAAGCTCTTTAAGATAAGATGGGGCCTGACCATGAAGAGCTTTATACGTAAGGAGAAGGATTTTAAATTCTATTCTGGATTTAACAGGAAGCCAGTGCAAAGTAGCCAAGACAGGAGAAATATGATCTCTTTTTCTGGTTCCTGTAAGAACACGTGCTGCAGCATTCTGGATCAGCTGAAGAGTCCTAATGGACTTTTTTGAAGACCCTGATAACAAGGAATTGCAGTAATCCAGCCTAGAAGTAACAAATGCATGGACTAGTTTTTCTGCATCATTTTTACACAGGATGCTCCTAATTTTTGCAATATTACGAAGGTGAAAGAAGGCGGTTCTTGAAATTTGCTTAATGTGAGAGTTAAACGACATGTCCTGATCGAAGATAACTCCAAGATTTCTCACAGTGGTGCTGGAGGCCAGGGCGATGCCATCCAGGGAAACTATATCTCTAGATAATGCGTCACGAAGGTGTTTAGGCCCTAGAACAATAACTTCAGTTTTAGCTGAGTTTAACATTAGAAAATTGCAGGTCATCCAGGTTTTAACATCCTGAAGGCACATTTGAAGCTTAGCTAGCTGATGAGTTTCATCTGGCTTGATCGATAGGTATAACTGAGTATCATCTGCATAGCAATGAAAGTTGATAGAGTGTTTCCTGATAATATTACCTAAAGGAAGCATATATAAAGTAAAGAGGATTGGTCCGAGAACGGATCCTTGCGGAACTCCGTGGCTAACTCTGGCATGCATGGAGGACTCATCGTTAACATGCACAAACTGAAACCGATCTGATAAATAGGACCTAAACCAACTTAGAACGGCTCCTTTAATTCCGATGAAATGTTCCAGTCTCTGTAGTAGGATCTGATGGTCAATGGTGTCAAAAGCAGCACTAAGGTCTAATAAAACCAAGACAGAGACGAGTCCTTTGTCTGATGCCATTAGGAGGTCATTAGTAATTTTCACCAGTGCGGTCTCTGTGCTATGGTGAGCTCTAAATCCTGACTGAAAATCCTCAAACAAGCTATTGCTATGTAGATAGTCACACAGCTGTTTGGCTACTGCTTTCTCCAGGACCTTGGAGATGAATGGAAGGTTGGATATAGGTCTATAGTTGGCTAAAACATCTGGGTCCAGGTTAGGCTTTTTCAAAAGAGGCTTAATTACAGCAACTTTAAAGTACTGTGGCACATAGCCTGTTAATAAGGACAGATTGATCACGTCTAGCAGAGAAGTACCGACTAAGGGTAGGACTTCTTTAAGCAACCTAGTCGGGATGGGATCCAAGAGGCAAGTTGAAGGTTTGGATGAAGAAATGATTGAAGTTAGTTGACAAAGATTGAGGGAAGCAAAACAGTCAAAACATATAACTGGTTCTGGTCCTACAGTTACTGAGTTTAAAGATAAGTCGATGCTAGTTGAGGGCAAGTCTTGGTGGATTTTGTTCCTGATAGCTAGAATTTTATCGTTAAAGAAGCTCATGAAGTCATGGCTAGTGAGAGCTATTGGAATACTTGATTCAATAGAGCTGTGGCTCTCAGTCAGCCTGGCAACAGTGCTGAAAAGAAACCTGGGATTGTTCCTATTTTCCTCAATTAAAGACGAGTAATATGCTGCTTTGGCATCACGGAGGGCCTTCCTATAAGCTTTAAGACTATCTTGCCAAGATAAACGAGACTTTTCCAGCTTGGTTGAACGCCAGTTCTTCTCAAGTTTCCGAGATATCTGCTTTAATTTGCGGGTTTCACTAGTATACCATGGAGCTAACCGTCTTTGTTTAAGAATTTTCTTCTTTAGGGGGGCTACAGCGTTAAGAGCTGTTCGCAGCGAGCCTTCAACACTATCAACAAGATGATCAACTTGGGAAGGACTGAAATTAACATAAGAGTCCTCTGTTTCTGTACGACTTGATAATGGATGTAGAGCTGATGGAATCACATCCTTAAATTTAGCTATAGCACTATCAGACAGGCATCTTGAGTAGACATTTTTACCCAGTGGAGGGTAATTCAGCAGTAAAAGCTCAAAAGTTAGCAAACAGTGGTCAGATAAAGACGGATTATGTGGGAACACTATTAAATGTTCAATTTCAATACCATACACCAGAACAAGATCAAGGGTGTGGTTAAAACAGTGAGTCGGTTCATGAATACTCTGAGAGAAGCCAATGGAATCTAACAGAGAGATAAATGCAGTACTGAGGCTGTCATTCTCAACATCCACATGGATATTAAAGTCCCCTACAATAATTACTTTGTCCGTTTTAAGGACTAAAGTTGACAAAAACTCTGCAAATTCAGATAAGAATTCAGAGTATGGACCGGGTGGTCGGTACACTATAATAAATAAAATAGGTTGCAGTGATTTCCAGCTTGGGTGGGAAAGACTCAGAACAAGGCTTTCAAAAGAGTTATAGTTCAATTTAGCTTTAGAGCTGATTACAAGACTGGAGTCAAAGATAGCTGCAACTCCACCTCCTCGACCTGTGCTTCGAGGAATGTGAGTATTCCTGTGACTGGGAGGGGTGGATTCATTTAGGCTCACATATTCTCCATCACCCAGCCAGGTTTCAGTAAGACAAAATAAATCAATCTTATAATCTGATATGAGTTCATTTACAAGCACACCTTTAGAAGAGAGAGATCTGATATTCAAGAGTCCACATTTTACTCTCTTATTTGCATGCACTATTTCTCTTGTGGTTTTAACTTTTATGAGGTTTCTATAGACAACTCCTCTGTTTACCCTTAATTTTAAAAATTTAAATGACCGGGGGACAGACACCGTCTCTATAGGTTTTTCACTAAATAACTCCTGGAATGGAGGAGCAGAGAAGAGGGTTACATTACAACTCCGCTTCCTCCTCTCAACCCTGGACTGTCACCGATCTAGTCTGCTAACAATGTTGGCTAGGTTTCTAGAAATGAGAGCGGCTCCCTCCCCCGTGGGATGGATGCCGTCTCTCCTAATCAGGCCACGTCTTCCCCAGAAAGACTGCCAGTGATCCACAAAGACCACATCATTGGCTGGGCACCACCTCGCCAGCCATCGACGGAAAGATGACATGCGGCTAAACATGTCATCACTAACCAGGTTGGGCAAGGGGCCAGAGAAAACTACGGTGTCCGACATTGTTCTAGCATATCTACAAACTGACTCCACATTTAACTTAGTGACTTCTGACTGACGTAACCGGGAGTCATTAACGCCTACGTGGATAACAATCTTACTGTATCTACGTCTACCCTTAGCCAGAAGTTTCAAATAAGACTCAATGTCGCCCGCTCTGGCCCCAGGAATACACTTAACTACACTCCCTGGGGTGTTCAGCTTCACATTCCTCAGAATCGAGCTACCTATTACTAGGGTAGGCTTCTCAGCGGGTGGCTCGCTGAGTGGGGAAAATCTGTTAGCTACTCGAACAGATTGAGGGGACACTAGGTGCTTAGACTTTTTACGGCTATTCCTCCCTCGGACAGCCACCCAGCTTCCTTTTCCTGGCTGCTCAGGAGAGGCCGGAGGGGGGGAAGGGGGGGGACGGCTATCAGCTATCAGCTAACGCACTAAGTGCCCTTTAAACAATAATAAAAGTAAATCGGGACCTGTAAAAGTAAGCTTTAAGAGAGCAGATATGGAGAAATGAACGCTCTACGCACTCCGTCACAGCCTTTTCAGACGAGCTCTGTAGACTGCACCCAGTAAAAAACAATGACATTTGTGTTCAATGCACCTCAAGCATCTCCATGCAAATTTGTGCAGCAAAGCCTGGAGGAGGCATCTGGCATTTGAAAGCAAAGAGTAGATGTTGTGTTAGTATGTACAGTAACGCAGCTTAGTTACTCAACAGAAGGCACAGGACAACATGACGAAGAGCAGATGTGTATGTCAACAACTGGTTGACACAAACTGAACGCAGAGACCTGTCAGTTTAAGGTGTTTTACTTAGAATTCATGCTCATTCATTTCTCTGAACGGATCTCTGCTTTGCTCTAATAAGATTCACTAGCATTTCAAATCTTAGTTTATGATCTCAATAATTTATGTCCTCAATACTAATACTTAACTGCTTATAAATGCATCCACTGTTTTAGAAATATCCCCCTCCCCCAAGGTTATTGTTAGAACAATAACCTGGATTTATGAGAATCCAGAGTAACACACAAAACAGATTCTCAGAGTAATATCTGTCCCACATCCTTGTAATGTCCAACACTCAGACCAGGTCACCAATGCCTGTTGAACCTTCTAACAAACATCATTTAATGTCTATATATTGTCACAATAACATTGCACTGACCATGTGTAAACAAGTCAGCAGCCCAAACTGGGCACTTCTAGAAGAGCTGTAGCACCCCATAGTGGTCAGCTGAGGCCATTGCACCAACTTAAACAAATCCTGAAAGATGGAGCAGCATTCTGCAGGAAGCTCCATGTTTTTTAACACCAAAATGTTATATATTGCAAAAACCAAATGCATCACACACAAACCCGTTTGCCTCCAATTACAGTTAGAGGAGAGAAATATATATATATATATATACAAAATACTGAGTTTAAAAAGTTCATATCAAGCGTTTTATTTAGTATACAGATATTTTGTAGATTTATACAGTATGTATATAGATATATATGTAACATGTGCCACTGCAAAAATCACAGACAAACTTGTTTTTGTTTGGAAAAGAAAGGAAAAAGAAAACATGTGCTTAGTCTAAAAGAAGTGCTAGAAAGCGCTTATAATGAGTGACCGGAATGATGAGGTAACTGCCGGGCAGGAAAGCAATCATTTATACAGTTTCAACAACAATAATAATAATAATAATAATAATAATAATAATAATGTACTGAAACAAAATCAATCAAACAGGCAAATGAGAACTACAGTGGCAGCATGGACCCTTAGTGTCAAAAAAAGAGAAAAAGATTAAGTTTGCGACATACATACACACACAGTATGCATATCATCAGTGCATAAACATACAAACAGGAAGTTAAGTCACTCATGACAGCAAAGGCTCTCATCTTGTTACTTTTATCTGATACACAACCAACTTAAAAAAAAAAAAAAAACAACAACGGAAAAAAACTCAGGCATGCTCCAGGACATCTAAAAATCTCTCACACAGCTAGAGGCACGCATACTGAAAACACACACACAGTCTTGTACCAAAGCTCTGCATTACTGGGCTGACCAAGAAAATGCTTGCAGAGTTGTGGCGCATGCACATCTGTATACACACACGCACGCACACACATATATGTATGTGTACACATATGCATGTAGTTATATACATACATACACACATATATATATATATCTAAATATGCAGGAAGAAGGGTCATTCACTGAGAAGGTGAGGACCTAATGTGCATGGAACAGGAAAGAATCAAGCGATAGGGAAGACGTTTGATGACAGTCACATCAAATGTGCGATTCTTTTAGCCAAGAAAGAAATGGCCACAAAGGAAGAGAGTGCTGCACAAACATTTAAAGTAACACTCTGTGTGTGTTTGCGTGTGTGCACGCAAATGTGCATCAATTCATCAGGAGCAGGCAGTGCTGGACGAGTTTGAAGAGACAGCAGGGAGAGTCTGACTCCCTCCTGTGGTCACTCTGAGTCTCTCTGGACCTCTGAGGCATCGGCTCGACAAATAGGACACGTCCTGTTGGCCTGAGGACGGAGAGAAGGCGCAACTAATTAGGCTTCAGAGGAGTTTCATGTCAGCAGCCATGACGTCAGTGATGACTGAATTTTAAATGTAAATCATCACCGAGCCAAACTAAATTCAGCGGTTTCAAGGCTGAGGCTCTGGGTCCTGCCTCTTGTCTATAGGCTGGTTTTTATTATTAACATGATGCTCAAACTCCTCTAGCATCTTTTAGCATTTTCAGAGAAGAGATCACATTCTGAAGATGGTCCCCTCCTGGGATGACTATGGCTCATATTTCCATGACTAAACAGTAACTCATGAACAGTTTTGTCAACATTACTCCTACTGTTAAACCTTAAAGCAGATCTGTCTGTCTGTGCTTTTGACGCAGGTAGGTTATCAAAAGATTTGCTCAGAAACAGATAAATTGTTTTATAAAAATAGAAATCCAGCAACTTAAAGTAAGCCAGAAACTAATGTAAATTTGAAGAAAAAATACATTATTTCCAAAGGTCTTAAAGATATTTAACATTATAAAATAGCAACATGTGTATGAAATTAAACAAAAACAACAGTCCGAGTAGAAAATCCTTAATGGATTGTAGGTTAGTGGTCTTCATATTGTGCTGACTCACCCTCAGCCACTTGTCGACACACTTCCCGTGGAACTCGTGGCTGCAGGGAAGGACTCGCAGCAGTTGGCGAGACTCAAAATCACTCATACATACCACGCACCTACAAATAGAGATAGTTTAGCTCATTTACACAGAAAACTGCTGTTTAAACACACTGTCCACCACACAAAAGTGGACATTCAATCAGATCTTGCTTGACCAATGACTGAAAACATTAACAGCAATATCTGAAGAGGGCGTGTCTCATTTGCAGGTTAAGAAATTGGGATTCTTTAAGGGTAGAGAACTGTCGGCGGGGTTTGAGCTTATTACCACCTTTCATGCATCATTTGCAAGAAAATCCCAAAATGTATCAGGATTTTCAGAAACTGTTCAAAATATCAAAATCAAAACTAATTAAACTGTCAAAAAGTCCAGAAGCATAATTCCTCCAGACGTGAACAGTGAATCCAATATTCTTATGGTCAGTACTCACAGTGTTTGTTCAGACTGATGGTTATTTGGATTGAACCGATAGGAGGGAAGCTGTTCAATGTCTCCCTTGGTCAGTCCTCGTAATTTGGCCTCTCCCAGACGCTCAGCAAGGTTCAGGAGGGCCTTTAAGAGAAAAAGTCAGCAGGCACACAACAATGAAGAGTGTGCCTTCAACAGCACAGAAGACAACAACATAAAAGCTGAGAGCAGACCTCATAATTCTCCACCTCTCCATCATCTACATCCAGCTCGAGGCTGATCGCAGGACCTGTGGGCTGGACTGGCAGCATTGACCTGCAGAAAGAGTTTTTTTATTTTTTTTAATCCAATAAACTATTTAAGATGTGATGAATAGGAATGTGTAACAAGCTCAGACTGGAATCAATAAAACAGAAGATAAAAAAAAACAACTTCCATGTAAAGTACAGAGTGAAACCACCATAAATATGTATTCTTCTTTGTCTTGGCCTCAAGAAACTATCAAATGGACCTATTCATGTTTGTTTATTAAAATAAATGTCCGCTTGTTTTGCAGATTACAGGAAATGAATGGAACCTATACTTAAAACACCAGGCTGTCTGCAGAACAAAATATTAACACAAGATAATTTGCTGTCCTAGTGAGAGATTTTTTTTCCAGTCTGCTTACAGGAAGTAAGGCAGGAGGCTGGGATGGTAAGGCGAAGGTGGAAGCTGCTGCGAACGGTACCGTCGCCCAGGGAGACGTCGAGGAATAAAGTTTGGATAAGACTACAGAAAAAAAGTCACAACATGTACATGTCAAACAGTGGCTCTGAGCATTGCGCTGTTCCATACAGCTTTCAAACTATCAAACTTGACACTCACCACTCCAAAGAACTCCTGTGGCAAAGGATCATGGGAGAGGAAGTGGAGCTGTGTGGAGTGTGGCGTGAGGGCCGGGTGGGTAGCAGGGGAATAATGGAGCCCTGCTCCCAGAGACAGGTGCTCTCCGAGCAGCTCCACATCATTCTCAATCCTCTGTAAAGGCTGCACAGGTGAGGGAGAGGGGTGGAAAAATGAAAAGAAAAATGACAAGCTGCTACAGAGGAGTTACTCTTCCAATCACATAACAAATACAAGAGAATTTCAACTGCTGTGGAAGTAAAAACAATTAAAAAATGAAGTGGATGAAGCAGTATCAGCCTTTTAACTCCTGTAAAGATGTCCTTAAAAAAAACAAAACAATTTAATGTTGCTGAAAGCATAATGAAAATCAAATATTTGTCTCTGAGACTGGTTAGTTTTCAGTTCCTGGGACGCTGCTTCTATAAAGCAGCGCGTTTTTAATCAGCATGAAAAGGCGTACAAAGAAGATGTCGTACCACAGCAGCCTGCACGTTTCCGTTATGGTTAGATTAAAAGAGTTCCTACCAGCCACTGTCAGTCCAACGATCAGCACCTGACAACTTATTCGTAGAGATGTGTGGCACTAGTGGGGGTGAGTCCTCACTCCCAATAGTGCACTTTAAGTTCTTACAGTCAGTGAAGATCTTGTTGCAAAAACAAGACAAACAAAGTACACAGAAGCACCTATTTGATGTGATTTTAAAGTGTAAAAATTCTGGAAGATTTGCAGCATCATAGTAAAGTTTCAGCTTGAGCATCAAAACAACCTGTATGAGCAAGCAGAAGGTGAAAACATTTGCAACGTGTCTGCAAACTCACAAATTATGCCCAACACTGGTTTAGTCTTCAGCTTCATCACCATCACACAAATGTCTATTTTCTCACACGGAGAAAAACACATTTGTGAAAAATAATGCCTCGGAGGTATAACAAAAAAAAGACAGGACACTGGCAGCTGAGAGACAGAACAGGAAGCAAAAGAAAGTTATTGTCTGCAAACAAGCTGAATCATTTGTTCCCATTTCCAACCTCGGGTCATGTGGGGCCCTGCACAGACAGGCAACCTGGCTGTTTGATCCGGACCAGCTTTTGTCAAATTTCACACAACTGATGGTACAAGCTATGATCCCAACTCATGCACTTTTGTTTTACAACTTTACATTCATATACCATCTCAAATGTTGGAAGCACAGTCTTTACTTAAATGTTACGTTTCTTTTTTTCAAACATCAAACAAGAGATCACATTCATGCTAAAGAAGTTTACTATGTAAGGGGAAGATTATTTTCTTCTTCTTTTATCAGTGATGTTGGAAAGTTGTAAATAAATAGCTTAATGCAATCTTTGAGCCCCATAATTTGTCCTCTGATGACAGCTAAACAAAAGCCGGGATGCGCGTTTTGCGTGTGATTCTACTCACTGATCGCGCCTGCTGCGCCGGATAGGGCCCAAACTGTCCAGGCTGCGGCAGGTGAGGTGGGTGATGGGAAAGGTGTGTGGGGGGGTGGGTGAGATGAGGAGGGGGAATCAGGAAGGCTGGGTCACTGGACAGTAATGATGGGAATGGGTATGGCATGGGTAAGTGTTGGACAGAACAAGTCTGAAGGACCTAACAGGAAAACACAGAAAGAATTAATTCAACCTAAATAAAGGATTTTTATAAAAGATCCTTCAAACAAACTGAAAAATACACTAACAGGAGGCGGGACACTGCAGACGGGATAGTGCTGTCCACTAAAGACCACGGAGCACGCTGGGATCTGCTGTGGAGCCGTGCGAGGGGGGAGCCCTGGTGGAGCCCCCGGAGGAGACATGGAATACGATACTGGAGCTGAACCCTGAACGTCATGGAAACCAGCAGAGCAGAGGAGAGGAGGGCGGGGGACACATGCACAGACAAAATTATTCAAGAAATATTCTGCAAAGAATTTCATGAGATGAAAAAGCACAGCGGGTGGGACCCATCTGTGCGTGGGAATCATTTGAATGTACATATTCCAGTCAATTTTAACTGAGTGAAACCTCAAAAGACTTGCTTGTATGTAAACAGTACCCACCCCCGGATATACATATATACATATGTATGTATATGTATAAATTTGATCAGTAAACTTACATTCAGAAATACATCGATAAACCAATGACTTTACCAGTACCTTTTAGATACAAGTCTTTATCTGAGTTTCACCACTAAAGTGAAGCTGAAACAGGTGCTCTGACCTCTGGGGTATGTTCAGATTCTTTTTTTTTGTTTGTCATCACACAGAACCCACCTGCTCATGGAGGTCCAGCACCATACTGCTCTGCTGCTGAGAGGGGTGTGGGTGCTGCGGGTGGGCCCCAGGGTGCAGCAGCCGGGGGGACAGGTTGGGCGACTGGTGAAGGGGCCTCGGGGAGGGATTTGGGGGATGGTAACCAGTGCGCTCTTCATGCCCCTGTCCTGGGCCACGGGGAGGCTGCTGACTGTAGGGTGGGTAACCCTGAGGAGGAGCTGGGTGGCGGTAGTTCTCGTCTTGATGGCCCGGTGATGGGCCGTGGTGAGAATGCAAGTGGTGGTGGTGATGGTGGTGAGCACCAGGGTGGTGATGGTGGTGGTGACTGCTGTTGCTGTTGTAGTGGTGGTGGTTGCTGTTGTTGTGCGTGTTGTGGTGGTGGTGGCGTGTCAGACGGTCTCTTCGACCACGCTGACGTCTCATTGGAGGGCTGAGGTGGAAGAAAGAAGGAAAAAACTAAAGAAGAAGCAGAAGAAATTATGTTGACATCGTATTATGAAAGAAAATGTTAATGGATAAAAATATCTGAAAATGTTAAGAATCTTATTATCCAACATTATTTGAATCATACTTCAACTGACCCACACACACACAGGTTTAAAATAAATTAAATAATAATCAGGTTTTTGGACTAAGAGTTTGATGTCTGTGCTCATGTACACAGAAATCATTTTTTCTATTACATAAATTTATCACTCAAACTTCCAACATTTCAGAAACACATTTTCACTTTAATTATAATCTAGCACCCCAAAAAAGAAGATACATTCAGCTCACATTGAAATCAAACCGACAAATGCTGAAATTACATTATATATTATTTGTTTGTGTTTGTTTGTTTTTACATTTTCATGAATAGATGCAAATTCAAGTAAACATCTGCATAATCATTGTGCCAGTTTGAAAAGAAGAAGGAGCCGATCAGTCCTGTAAATAACTGCCTGTGTGTTTGTGTTCTAAACATACCTGCGGCGGTTTCTCACAGGTGTGTGGCATCTCTCTGGCATGTAGTGGGGGTGTGGTCTGCGACTAGGAGGCAACTCCCAGGGACGAATTGGAGAGGAGGGAGTAGAGGGAGGGGCGGAGCTAAGATCTAACATGGACTGTTGGGAAAGACGTTGCCTTTTTGGGCTTGGGCTGTCCTCCATCTGTATATCCAGAAGAGGGTGGGACCAGAGGAAAACAGAAGGAGGGGGGGAGGGTTTACATAAGACAACAATAAAAGAAGTACAAATTCTATTCAAACCAGGAGCATAGCAGACAACTGGCAGGGGTCCCCTTTCATACATACTTTGTCCCGATCATCGCTGCACACATTATCTGGATGAAAATGCAGCACACCTCCTGCAGGCCGGATAAGAAAAGACAAATCAGGGAAGAAAAGGGCTGAATAAAAAAAAAACAATCAAAATACCAAGACACAAGGACATGTTTGCTTTGCAAACAAAAGCACAGAAACATCACACACACACTCACATACAGACAGCTGGCAGATTTCATCTTTCGGTCTTAAAAAAATAAAATAACACACATGACGCCAAAAAACACACTTCATCTTGATCCAGCCATAATGATTCCTTTCAACAGCCCCAAAGGCTTTACAGTGGAAACAAAAAATGTGTAATCTGATAACAACTGACAGTCAAAGCCCCAGGTCCTCAGCAGTAGCCCGTACTGTTTTGAAATTTCCCGCTATAAACAAGGAGGCAAAAAAATACATTCACAACGAATAACAGGCAGACACCTACCATGAAACACACATCTTGTTATCTTTGCTTCAATAATATCGGGGGTTTTTCCCCAATTCTGGTAGCAGCTCATTGCATCACATTTTATAAAATGGGCTTTAAAATGGTAGATGTAACAATACTTTTCACAAGCAATAAATGGGTAAACAGTTGTCAGCTTTCTGTTTGTATTAAAATAAGGTTATGTTTTGGTTTAGACTGTTAAGACAAGAAATTTGCCAATGGCAGCCCTTGCACTGTGCTTTAAATTTGAGTGTCCCTTTGGCTTTATCAATAAAATTGATAAATAAAAAGAGGGGCAAAAAAACGAAATAATCAGTTGAAGCCTCTGCGCTAGTAGTGTCTCTGAGCAAAACACTGAATCACTGCTAGCCCTTCAATTACAACTCAGTGCTGTTTGTTCCAGTCATTTTTTAAACCAATTCAATTTGAGAGAAAAAGGAAAACGTTTGCATATTACCAGAGATTTATTTTTTAAAAAGAGAATGGGGTAATATGTGTAAAATGCCTGTGATGGACTGGTGACCCGTTTGGCTCTCGCCCAGTGACAGCTGGGACATGATCCAGCCCACCTGGGACCCCAACAGGATTAAGCAAATGGATGGATGGATGTGTAAAATGAAAACCAAAAACAACAATGAATAAAAGCACAAAATCTTAAAAGAATCTCAGAAAAACGGAGTGCTTTTTCCATCCATTTATCTGGCCCTCCACATGTGCACACACATATCTCAGTAGCTGAAGGTTGTCTTTCTTCTAGCAGCCCCCCAGCCTCCAAATAAATAAATAAAGCAAAACTTTCATAACCAATGGCGAGAGTAGCTGCTCTCAAATAATGCCTTCCATTCCTTCTTCTCTGCCTCCCTCATCCAAAGAAAATCCTTCTGCATGCTCAAAAACAACAGATCTGAAAGTATCCCCTAACCCTTTCTTGTCTTGAGACACCCCTCTACAGCTGTGTGAAGTGTGCTGATAGTGACAGCTCAAAGATGCCTTGCCAGTGGCAGCAGACAACAGAGACGGGCAACTGACTGACAATCCGACAATAGGGCCAACATGCTGGCCTGCATCTTAATTCTTTTAACCATATATTTTCCCTCAGACTTCATGGGGTCCTGAGCTTCATCATCCATGAGTCTGTTATTATGGATTCATCCCGTGGGCAAGTGGGAAAGAAATGGCGGACCAGTACGGAGGGGTCCCATTAGCTAGCAGACATGACCTTGTTTCCTCCAAGCATAGCTGCTGGGGAGAATTGACACCATTTCCTTCTCAACAGACAGTAAAGTTCGGCATGTTAGTGATTTTCAAGAGAAAGCCTTCATAATTTGTTCATGGCTTTAAATGAGATCCAATATGCAGGAGCAGAAATAGACTAGCTGTTAAAAAAGGAGTTTTACCCACAGGATTCGAGGACGTCTGATATTATGAGCAAAAATCAGTGAAAAGCTGTTTCTTATTACTTGCAGTGGGTGGGATGAAACATTGATTAGTAAAGCTTGGAATGCTAGAGTTCCTCTGTGACAGAGGAAAGGGTGAATAAAAAGGACATTAAAACACCATCATAAACCAATGCTAACGCATACTGTATAATGTGATGCCCAAAATGTGTCACCGAGGCAGATGAAGAGTGTAAGAATAAGCACTTACATTTATTCTAAGCACTTTAGTATAGATAGTTGCATACAGAAAAAAATCATACACAGGCAGCAGCTAAGAGGAAAGCGGAGGCTTCTCACAATGATGGAAACATCTTTTTAGCCATCCACACAAACCCAGCTAAAGTCAGTCAGCTGGGAAGCATCTGGGCTATTTTAGGTGTTGAGGAATGGAACTGCCATTGTAACAACCATTAAAAGCCCATTTAATTCATTTAGTGCACTTAAAAATAATCTTGTCTGAAGCCTCAATTGAAATGTAACTGTCAGATTATTATGTTGTGAGCATGAAAGGCCAACTGACTAAATGGACAGCTGATATGCAGTGCAAACATTTCTGATGTGAAAAACCAAAAGACATTGCAAGAACACTAATTAGAAAATGTTGTTCTATCTCAACCCGCTAAAGAAAGCCAGGTCGATTGTTTTTAGGGCAATTCAGAGTTTTCTAATGGGCTGAAATTTATGTATAAGAACAAAAAGGCAGCTGGATTGGCGAGTTAACAAAGGAGATTTCATAGAGCAATCTTAAGCTTTTTTTCTTTTAATTAATCCAAATAAAAAATATATGGCTTCTTTCCAGACATCAAACTCATCTTTTAAATAGATGACATTGTGTGTCTGGTAGACAGAATATTCAACCCAATTAATTCAATAAACCCTGTAATAATAGTGACTTGCTGTGCAATACTTTTTACAATTTTAAGCACCAATCTTTAGGGGAAATTTTGAGACATTTCACCCTAAACAAACGACCATGGCACACAAGAAAAGGTTCATGCACAGCCGAGCTTCCACCCCCTTTACCATACAGCAGGCCTTTTTGCAACAGCTGGCAGGGAAAGCTCAAATCCTTTTAGTCAAATACCTAAAAGCCTGATAACCAGCGATTGGTGCGCCTGCATGCCTCGGTTGGGGGGGGGTGTATCCTGTGTGGATGTAGCGGCCGGCAGGCCCCGTGTACTTTAAGCCCGCTTACCAGCCCCGGGGTGCCTGTGGGCTCCGTGTGAGGAGTGGCGGTGCACCCCTGCGGACAGGTAGCTCCCCTGGGTGTGCTGCTGCTGCTGCTGCTGCTGCGGGCTCTCCGGGTAGCTGCGCCCTCCGTGGTGCAGCGCCCAGCCGGGGCTGCTCTGCGGCGGGTAGCTCATCCCTCCCCCGCTGCCGTTCAGCAGGCTCCCGCTACCGATCGCGTTGCCGTTCCCGTTGCTCCCAACGCTGCCGTTCATGGAGAAATGGTAGAAACCAGAACGAGACCGCGACCGAGTCCTCGGGGGGTCCATGGCCGGAGAGGAGGAGGAGGAGGGCGGTGGTGGATGGATGTGATATCAGGGCAGGAAAAAGAAAATCGACGACCGCTTCTCTGCACTTCCTACCCCGTTAGTTAACACTGGCGATGTTGATCGTTGACTAGAAGTGGTTTTCTAAGGCATCTAAAGTGGATTTTTTATATTGTATTATCATTCAAAGTGAAAGCAGCAGGTTCAGGGAAGCACAGCCCTCATATACCGCACAAGCACCATCTGCATCGACTCCATCCACTCTCTCCTGTCAGTGCAGGTCAACTCAACGGAAAGCGCGATTTTGTTTTTTCACGCCAAAATGCTCGAACCGTTTAAGAAATTAAATAGTTATATGGCACACAGCTAGCCAAAGCAACAACAAAATAGCTATTTTCTTCCTTCGCGGTCATCAGTGGTAACCTGGTTACCAGAACGGCTGAACAAGTCTTTGCTTCCCTTTTGTCTTTTCACAGTGAACACCGTCAGGGTTTCCAACGGCAGATAAAGTATTTTATAGGCACTGGTTACAAGCATTTGACTCCTTAACACAAGAGCCAATTGCCAATACCTTCGTTAACAATCGATTAAATATCGTTTGCTCTTTCCCATGGACATCCAAGCAAGTTAAATACTTAAATCCGTCAACACAGGCAAAATGGCTAGCCGTCGAGCGTTAGCAAACTCAAAGAACCCAGCGGTCTTTATTCTGGTTGTAAAGTAAAGTTATTAGCATAGGTTTACAAGTTAAATCTAAGTATACTGCAACGAATAGCTTCTGTAGGCAGCAAAGTTACACCCCTCTGCGTTGGCTAACTATACCTGTTAGTTCATTAGCATAATACCGATTTTCCAGCTAGCCAAAGGCTAACAGGAAGCGAAGTCTACAGGGGAAAACAAGTCAAACTGTGCCGACATTACAACCAAGCTAACGTCGCGCTGTATCAATATTAAGCTAGTTTTTTTGTCGAAAAAATAAGCTGACTATCACAACCCGTACGAGAAAACAGATAGCTACCTTGTCCGTCAAGTCAAGCGGACGATATTCGTCTAATTTAAATCCCCTCTCGCATCTGCTATCGGGTGTTTTCTCTGGTCAGCGGGGAGTTGAGTGGAGATCAATCAATGGGAGTCTCGCATCTCTGTCAAGTCACGATCAGTCAATGACAGAAAACTATTTAGTCTCTCGAAACAAAAATTACCAAATATGATTTGAACAAATCCTAAAACGTCCACCTACGACATGCTAAAAGTCTTACAAGATATTTTTTTGCAAACATTATCGAACCAATACCACTGAATGACGACGTCAGGCTTGACCTTTTTTATCATACTCGATTATTTGTGCCTGAAAACCTCAGGCAGCTGCTCCGCTCATTAATAATTCAGTAGCTTCACAGTAGAAATACTACGAGACAACGCTTTGACAAATCTAATGGCTTCGTACTGCCTTTCAGCTGGATGTGCTGTTAATAACCCAATATATAATCATATGTAGCACAAATCGAGCCTCTGCTCCTCATGTTTTCATTTGTCAAACGTCGCAGCGTCGTGCATCTCGAGCATTACGAGAATATGAGGATATCTTGCTTTTAGGGACATTAAATATTTTAACACACGTTACTCTCAAATTGAAGCTGCACTAGAAGGGGATAACCACAACATTTTATCAGGTCGGAAGACAGATGATACTATGAATATATACACATATATTCAACAAAAGAATGTGGACATATTTGTAAGCCATACTTTGACATAAATTGTAGGCCAGAGAGCTGGAGACACTACAAAACATTCACAACAGATTCACAAAATGAAGATGAGAAGCTTTCAGATGTTTGCTATGTTGCATGTTGTTGGACACAAAATAAATAAATGCATATAAAATATATTCAACATACAGTTTAATTTAAAAAAAAGGTTTAGGAAAATTAAAAAATAGTCTTTATTCATCTCCTTCTGTGACGTACTCTTTGTTTTGGAGAGAGTAAGTTTTCACTGCCAATATCCATGTTACCATGAGCGTGCAACTCCCCACGCTTTGTCCCACCTCTCTTCCTCCACCGCTCTGCCTCCCTGCTCTTCCTTCCAGTTGTGTTGTCCCTCCTTTTCTTCTCTGGTGGTGGGATGGACCGCCTGTGGCCATGGAATACTTCTCTAAAGGGGTCCTCTGGACAACTTTCCTCATCAGAGTTGCAGCAGGACCTCCCCAGCCGTCCTCCCTCCCGCATGGCCTGGGCCTCCCTCCTCCGCTGCTTCACCGCACGCCTCTCTCGGCGTCTCTCTGGCCACGTTTTCCTCCGGTCAGCTCGGCTACTTGCTTCCTGTTTCGTTCTGCCGCTCTCATGGATTGACGCTTTCTCCTCACCGCTCTCTCTTGTTATTTCATACAGGTGCTCTTGGTCTGATGGAGGGACGGATCCAACGCTTGCCAATTCTGAAAACCGTAAACAATATTACGAAGGATTTTCTGAGTTGTTCATTCCTAGACCCCTTCTGATAACGTGATTAAAAAGAATGAATTTGGTTGATAAATTCAGATAATTTCATAGACAATAACAAGAAATCATACTATATCTTCTGTTACCCATGGCTCCTGTCTGCATGCTGCTGTGACACTGAAGAACATCCTCCAGGGTGTCATACTGGGATACATAAGGCAACACAGCAAAAGTACCGCTGACCATCCTCCTCCTTGTGCACTCCTGACATAGACAAAGATACACAGATGAGAAGAAACCCAAAAGAAAAAAATGAACTGGGCCAATAGAGACACAACACCAAAGATAGGATTCTTCATATGAATCAATTACATAGCCATAATGTCCCCTTTTAGAACAGTTGTAGCAATGAGCACGGCGACCCTTGTGTTTGAGGCAGCAATCACTTCTTGGTTTAAGTGGAACTTCTAGCCTGATCTAGAAAAAAAGGACACATTTTATTTCAAATATATGAAATGACATCTGTTGCTATCTTTGATTTATGCAAACAAATGTTTGTCAATCAACATTAAAACAGTATAAAAACATCCTGATGGAATTCTTATTTATTTCTATACTGATCTGTTTCCCCCAATCTACTCTGTTTCTTGATCTCTGATTCCATTGTTAGGATGCACTTTGTATTGACAAAAAAGTGGAGATGAAAATAAAATTAAACCAAACTTTAACTTACAGTCATGTGATACTGTCTCCATATATCAGGGCAAGCCTGTGGAAATTCCAAAAAACAAATTAAAGCAATTTCCTCTTATTAAAAGAAAAATTTAGTTACTTCGTGTCTCTGCATATGGCGGCAGAATCTGACAACACTAATCTGACAGATCATTTCTACAGTTCCTTCAGTGGGGAACAAGCCTTTTAGGAGCTGACAGTGAAACTCACATCCGACAGGTGGCCGGTCATCTGACAGCGGTGGCAGTGCTGCCTCCAAACGGGGGGCACTCTGCAGGGACCGGGGCCATGTGAGGGCAGTCCACAGCTGGAGCATGGGCGGCCCGGACAGTTCTTCTGGACGTGGCCTCGGATACCACAAAGGACGCAGACAGGACTCTTCTGCTGACAGTGAGGGAGAAAAAAAAAAGCTGGACGCTGTGAATTTGCAATCGGTCTCATTGTGATTAGGCAGATGAGCAGTGCCTTACTTTATGGAAGTAGCAGCTTTTGGCACTGTGCCCTGTCCGGTTACAGATGTGACAGAGTGAAACGTAACCAGGCACAAAGTAGCGGCTTGTTAGGGACTGAACAGCACCATACTACAAAAGA